CGACCTACGTATATGTACCGAAGGTCGGTGGGAGAGTCGTTTTATACCGATTTAAATGGCGACTTCCGTCAGATCAATTGTGAATCAGTTGCAATCGCGAGCTTGAATACCAAATATGTAAGTCGTAACGAAGCTCCAGGTTGGTTAACAGCGTCCAGCTAATGATCTGTCAGAAGTCCTTATTTAAATGGTGTAATTGATTGGCCCTCCAAATCCCAGGGCGCCGCTTTCATCCCGCCTAGTTGGCTCAGTTAAACAGCTGATGCTGCAGTATCGCACACGAAAGGTCGAAGGGTTAGAGTTCTGACGGTGGCGGATTTTCAACGCTAGTTATGTACCCAAGACGAATTCATCCGCGCTGTCTGGGGATAAATTCTGTGTGCCGGCTGTCGTGATCAGTAGTTTTTCGTGCTTTCACCTTCCAATGCCAGGGTAATTCTGAAATAGTACCTTGACAAACCGGCCATGGTCAAAGGACGATCATTCCTTCATTGACCCTCCTCTTCCCTTTAACACACGCACACAGACATCGGGAGCTTAGCGCTTATTCTGAATGGAATGACGTCCCGTTGGGAGAGATACCTGAAGGAAAAATTATACCCTCCAATATTTCGTGTTGTAATCATTCCATATTTAGTTACAGAGCGGGCGAATGCTTAAATAATGGATGTATGGTCAATGTATGCTGTCGGAGAAACTGTCAACTAAGATTTTCAACAATTTGATCCCAAATCGGGTTGTGCTACTGGATCAAATTGAAAAAGACATGGAATTATAATCACGTAATCAATTTGCAGAGTAATGATCAAAATGTGTTAAATCTACTTATTTCAGTTTAGTTTGAAGCGAATTCTGAGTCTAAAAGTATTCTAAAACTTGTGAACACACACCGTTGTCCCTTTGAGACAGGGGATTTGGGTACATGGGCTCAAGGATGTGGACACAAGGACTCGGCGCTTGGAACTCGCAAAAAACGGGGCTGTTTTTAGATATTTGTGCAGGCCGGGTATTCCGGGCCCCTCCTTTATCATGGTTATACCTTAATCTCTTGATATGAAAGACAACTGGGAATATAATTGAGGAAATGGATGAATCGCTACAGAACAATGGTACAATATAATGACGAGTGAAAGAACAAATTTTAATATTAATAATGATCTTCATTGTTAATTCAACTCTCATTCGGTTTTCAAGAATATTATTCAACTCCTTACCAAATTTAATCTGGTAAATTGTATTTATCAATTGGTTACATATTGTCGATCTCGTGTACAAGTGCTACATTAATGGTTTTTCTGAAATGTATGTGTAATCCTTGCAATTTTGTAACCATCGTATATTTGTAAGTACTTTATTTTGTAACTGTTTGCCAAAGTTGTTTGGCTTAGTTGTTTCTAAGGCGATCTTAAATAATTTTTAGAAAATGGTACTAGCTCAGTGATGAGGTCAATAAATACTAGGAGGAAATAGGTCGTTGCCTCACGATCTATCCAAAACAGTGAAGATCACTTCTCAGTTTTTACGCGTTTGTTAACTTTTTCATGGCAGCCTGTTGATAAGCTCTTTCTGCGCTCGTGTCGTAAATACAACTGTGTTACATAGTTTCACACAGTATTTTTTTCTACGGCAAATGGGTACCATTAGAACTAGCAGAATCTGATTGACCCCTACGAGGCAGACATCACACAAGGTGCAACAAACACTACCTAGACGCGACAGCGCCCTCGCAAGTCTTTTTATTACGAAAAGTATTTTCAAAAGTCTTAAAAGTTAATTGTTTACGTAACCCTTTGCCAGCTTTAAGTAGTATATACAGTCATCGAATTTGACGTTCCTTCCTAATGAAAACTGTATTACTTTTGCGTTAGTTAAAAAATAATAGTTGGCTAATAATGACTTGGTACCATTTTCAACATATTTTATTATTATTATTATTATTATTATTATTATTATTATTATTATTATTATTTACATTTTGTCATATTTTCTGTTGCGAACAAGCTTAATAAATTATTAGTTTTGTTGCTCCTTTCTTCTTTTCCTTAAAGTCATTGCTCTGTTATAAAGTTTTAAAAATTTGGAAATAACATACAAAACACACAGTTGAATATTTCTGTTTCTCTGATCGTCTTTAAATTAAAAAGAAGCTAAAAGATGGTTTAAAAAAATCTATGTGAATCCCCTGAAATGTATGCAAACCCGCAAAGCGGATATGTACGGCAGGAAGTTTTGCTGACGACAAGGGGATTAAAACGTACAAGCTTACATAGTGTCGAGGATTTTTTTTTTCTTTTTAGAAATCTATTAGTGAACAAATTAACTGATATTATTTTATGTAACAATCTATTAACCATAATAAAATAGTCGCTAAAAACCATTCATTTAATATGTGTGAAAATTTATCAGTTACGTTTGAAACTTCATGAGATAGATATGTGAAGTTCTCGAAAAACGTCGCCAAACCATGGCCTTAATAATAACTTTTTTCTCACGTGTGCAACGAAATAGGGCAACGAATGATTCTCACATCTGCCAGAGGTACTTCAAAATCTGCAAAACAAATGAGAAAGAAAAATTAATTTGATTGGGTAAGTAACCAGAACGGTATAAGTCACATTTATAAATTAAGAAAAAACATGTATATATTAGGCTGTATGTCAGTGGCAATGTATTTTCATGATTTTAATGAACAATTGACATACCTCGGTTTTAATTATGAAGCAAAGCACCGCAGCTTTACAGTGAGATTGACGTAGAAAAAAATTTCAGAATTTATAAAATGTCACTTATATCGTTCTGGTTTTCTCCCATTCATTTGTAATATAGTTTGAAGTGCATTTTTGTATTGCAGTCTACATTTTGCATGATCCGTTGACGGAGTTAGAACAAATAAAAAGGGCTAAGAACGAGCAAAATGCTGTAAATTGTAAAGATATAAAACAACAAACCAACAATAAAGTGGCGTCATTTAATAAGCTCTCATTTTTGGTATATATTCATTGTTACATTTGCTCTTTTGATCTCTCTTAGGAAAATGTTTAGCAAGTGTTATTTTTATATTGAATTCAGCGCTTCAGTGAACATTAAAACTTTAGATGTTTCATTTTTATTTTCACTTCTCGACTTAAATTTTCAGTGTTTAAGGGCCAGTTGTAGGAAGCAGAGATATTTCCAGGTAGTTATTTCTAAGAATTGCTTTTTCCGAGAATAAACAACTCTTCCTGTTGTACGACTTATTTTTATTCCACAGATAACTATCTCCTGTTTATTCGAAGAGGCATCAGTGAAGGAGAAAGTTGGTACTACATTCGATAGTGTTTTGTCGAAATCTCTAGTCTTTACTTTTCATGTTTTGCACATTTCTATCCGTTTCCGCCCATTTCAAATCCACGGACGTGAGCGGAATGGGCCAGCGCCCTATCCTCTTACTGTGATCACTCCACGTGGAGTTGCGTTCGAGTCTTGCCACTATGATTGTAACCACTATGGATGAATAGTATGATATTTTGTTGCAATGCCAATTATATATCTATTATATTGTTGTTCTAATATTTTTATGTTTTACCACCAGCCCTGAGGGTGGAATAAAAATATTCCGAAACATGGGTAAACTGTGTTTTAAGTCTAAATACATTCCGACCAAATTCCTTGATCTATATTTCCTATTTCAACTTCATGGTCGTGAATCTACAATGATAACATTATTGACGAATAGTTACTGAGAGAGAAAAATCCTCTCGATTCCCGGCTAACAGCTTCCAGCTTCCTTTGAATAAACAATCTATTGTGATAAAATAGTATAACAAAGAAAAATAAGTAATTTTGTTTATCAAACATTGTTTAATGGGAAAAAAGAGTTTTTACTATACTGCAGGAATTCCTAGGGGAATTGGAGTAAACATTTACCCAATTACTCTGAAAATATTTTTGTTAGGGTGTTTCTATCTTTTCTAGGGTACTAGGCAACTAATAAAAATATCAAATTTAAAATGTATATTAAACTCTGTCTCATTCATATCATCCTTCAAAGTTCCAAAACCCCGAGAACTGTGGATTTAAATAGATTTCTTCTATAAAAAATCATATTTGGTCAATGAAAAAATGGCCTGGGTAGAAACTTTCGATATTTTCGAATACTCTGTATCGTATCGCCGCGAATCGCATCTCAGTTTTCGTAGTTTCGAACTCTCCAGACAAGAATTAATCATCACTATCCGAAAACTTCATTACTACCGATTGCTACACAGTACATGCGCCTCATTACTGCTTCTTCTTTGAGGTTATTTAATGTTATCCACTGAATATCACAGCAAAATTAAAAAAAAAAAGTTTATCACCGGTTTATTCCGTGGATAAGCACTATTCCCACTTCGTGCAACCGGTTTTTTGTATCTATAGAATAAGAATTATCTCGGCTTTATTCCAAGTTCATACAACTGGGCCTGAGAAATTTAGATAGCGATAAAAGTGGATATAATAGTATATAACAACGAGACTATTATCAACACATTTTTATTCGAGCGAATATTTTAAGAATAGCTCCCAACGGCTCGTTGGTTAGCGTAACTCGCTTTCCACGGCGCAACCCCGGTTTCGATTCCCGGTCGGGGCAAAAATTAATTGTACGCTTTCCTTGCAATGCCCCACAATCTGTTGCTGTGTGTCGATGAGAAAATTCACTTCTCAGGTTGACAATACCAGAATGCAGCGGAGTGATGGCTATGTGCTAACCACACGTATTCCATAACCGATGGCCGCAAGGCCGGAACGCGTCTGGTAGACCTTAGCTCGTAAAGAGCTGTTGTACCACAGTAAAAACAAGAATATTTTAATAAAATGATCAACCATTATTAACAAGTGGTTTAGATTTGGAAGTACTAAAAACAAAAGAAGATACTCCGTTATAGAGTGTTTGCCCTGTGGCTCCTGAATTCTCTAGGCGTGATCTAAGCGTAAATTAATAAACATTTCCACTCATTCTCTGTGTTGGTTCACCACCGATGGAATCGTATCGCGGTCCAGATAATCTTAGCTACGGAATTTTCCTTCGTCCAAGGGAACTGTACCTGTTCGTGGAGTTCGCCGAAGGCGTCTCCTGAAAATAGCTACTTAGTTTACTCAAGAGTCATAAAATGTCCCCCGTAACTCGCGTTTTGTCGTCTTTCTCATTCTTTTCGTGAAAATTGTAACCTCTATTCTTGTCTCTACTCATGTACGTACTAATTCAAACTCGTAACTTCAAGGAAAACAACTTGCTCTTATATCTATTTGTTTTCGAAAGTTTTCCTCAACTGGGTTCTGGGGATATTAAAGAGGTGGGACGCCCGAAAATAACTTAATCAGTTTTTTACAGAAATATTTACATATCAATGTTTTAATCGTAGGTGCAGAATTATCCTTAGTGAGCAGGTGACAGAATTATCCATCTATAGCGAAACGACGTTGTTCGATTAGCACATTCAAATGGATGGTACAATAAGGGCAAGAATAGATTTATTATAGTAACAGTCGAAAATGGTGCAAACTTTATGAAGTACTTATCAACAGTAAAGCTCCGGCATTGTCCCACTATAGTTCTTCAACGTTTGAGCTTTTTATTATAGCACTAGTGTCAAAATGACTTCAATATACCACTTTTTCGCAGGCGAAAGGGAAAAAAAGTTGTACGAAACGAACTATAAATGCATAAGACTTTTATGTACAATGCAAAATATTTGGGGCAGTTGCGTGGACATTTCAAGAAATAAAGACATTTCACGGAAAAAATCTTGATTTTTACACACATGTTCTCGTTTTCCATGAAATATCATGAATTTCAATAGAAAATTTTAAAATACACAACTACACATAAAATAAAACAATTTTACACAAAACGATACTAATAATAAAACGAATCTACACTAACAAATCTTAATTCAAAAAGTAACCGACATCGATAATGCAAAAAGTACTTAACGAGTTGATACGAAATTTTTACAGACTCTTGTTGAAGATTGTAGCAGTCTCCTTGCAAAATTTGATAAAGATTAACGCAACACAAATGCGGAAAATAAATAATTTATATAATAAATCGGTAGAAGCACCTCGATATATTATTATTCGCTTCTTTTAGGAACCACGTGCCAAGAGCACGTGGTTCCTAATATATTCCGCCAGAGGCCAGTAGCGGTGGAGAAGACGTGGTACCTTATTGATTTGCTGCAGGCCACTAAGGGTGCGTAAATAAAAAAATAAACTAATGGGAATGTACTTTAGAATAATATGAAAGAAAATAATTGGATTTGATTAAAGTTTGAACGAATTACATTAAAAATAATTATCTTAAACACCATGGTTTATAAAAAGTGATATTTTCCTTTGTTCGTAAGGATTAGATAGGAAGAAAGTCCAGGGTGCTAGGTATGTTGCTAGTAATTATATAAAACAATCGAGTTTAGCTCACCCAGTACGCCGATATCAAAGGCAGTGAAGGAAATGTAATCTCGGACCAAGGAATCGTGAGTTAGAGTTCCACCTGGGCCAAGGCTGATTATCCGTTTGTTGTATCATAGTGCTCTTTCCCAGTATCCATGCATCACATATCAATATCCCTTTCTGTCGTGCCCAATTAATCATGTGGAGCATGAAACTGGAACTAGGGCCGGGTTTACACTATACACACATTTACACTAGAGACCGGATTTATATACATTAATAATTTATGAAAAACTATTCCTTTGTTTAGTAAAAACTTAGAAAATATGGCCCATAAAGTACTCAGTTAACCCGTCACAACACAGTTTCTTATTTTTTACAGTTAGTATATTATATGAATCCAGTACTTTACTCCTACGATGCCGCTCAATAAAAGTTTGAAACGTAAGAAACGTTTGAAAAGTATTTCTAGAATTAGTTGCAACACGGCCAAAAGTGTTTTCGAGAACCTTTTAGCGGCCACCATCATTTTGCAATCTGTTTCGTCACATTTACATATAGCAAGAGATCATACTTTCTGACTACAAGAGTAAAATACACAATGGAATCCGGCCTCTAGTAAACACCCAACGTCGTCACCCCACCCGGTAGTGTGCGGTGGAGTGGGTAGGTTGCACGGCGGACGGGCTGTAGAGCCATCCGTTGGTTACACCTGGGTAAAACCAGGCTCCCAAATCTTGCAAAAACCGCGCCAAACACTACACGCCTACTTGGTACGCTAGCGCGATCTAGCTGTAGACACAAGTACTATGGTGCTTCAGAAGTGATGGATTAGGGAACAGAGTGATTAGGGAATTTGTGCCACTTCGAACGTAAAGCACTATCGATCTTCTGCGCATGCGCAGATGCACCTAAGTGTTGCGAAACTTAACTGCGCGTGCGCAGAAGATCGATGGTGCTTTCCGTTCGAGGTGGCAGAAACTTCCTATTATTCAAGTGAGAGCCCTCGTCTATACGCAGATTAAAGTGTGTGGCGAATTGGGTGTTGATTGGTTGGGACGTATTTATTCATGGACAAACATACACTACTCTTAAGGAAGTAACTACCTCGTTAGTTGACGCGCCCGGAATCCGTATCAATCAATCAATCAACAACTTAAATGTCGTTTTCTTTTTTTTCGAACTTACATCCCTGTACAATAAGGGAAAACACTTGCTGAAGCACACATGCGGTAACACTTTTCGAATGTCATAATCGTTCGTCATAAATGTAAATTTTAAAATATACCTATTGGTTCTATACGTAAACATTTTTTTAATACATGAATTTAATGTATTTACGAAAATGTTATATTAAATAAATTTCCGCTCCTTTCAAAATGTTTCGGGAGGTCACGAAGAGTTCCCCCCCCCCGCTCCCGTCCCGCCTCCCTCCCTCACACGCCAGCGAATCAAGGGGTGGTCGCAATGGAAGAAGAGGTCGAAAATCGTAATACGTGGGAGAGGAGAGTAGTGTGTAAACTAAATTGGAAAAAGAAGAATAGAAGGAAAGAATTATAATCACTTGCGAGCGTTCTTTATTTCTCTGTATCTTATCCAGCTTTACCGTGTTTGTAAAGCTTTGTATAATAGCAAATTTGTATGATTTTTTTAAAAATTTTAATGCAAATTGAATCGAGAATTGCACTTCTTGTCATAAAACCCATTTCTGTTAAAATATTTAAATCTGAATATTGAAATGTTATTGATCTTCAAAAGATGTAACATTTTCCAATGTGAATGTTTAAAAATCAATAAAATAAGTATTTTTCATTTATTGAAAGTCAATGTCGATTTATCTTGTTATGATTGACAACATAATATATTTAACTTAAAATGTTATGTATATCGAAATTTCATAAAAATGTATTAGTTGAACATTTTTAGTACCTAGAATTTTAAAACTGTTATTTTGCATATTTCACATTTGTTGTGCGTTGCTTTTGTTTCAGGATGTAAGAAGTGTGGAAGAGAGCAGCGATGAATGTCCGAGAGAAATGTGTGACAACTTGCCGGAAAATTTTGAGGGTGAGTAGTACAAATGTTTCTCGATTAACAACTCGTTAATACTATGTATCTAAAACACGAGTAACCAAAATATAGAGTAAACACGCATTTCCGAGTTCTTGTATAAGAAAATAAAAATTTTACAATTTTCCGTAAATACATTTAGGATTCATAATCCTAATGTCCACTTAATAGCCACAATTGTATATAACCACTCCCAGATAGGTTTAAAATAGGGAAATCCAGGAAGAAAACACATTTTGAATAAAATGTCTAATTACGTAAGTATAAAACTTTACTTTTAAAATTCTCAAGGTCACATTACCTCCTTCCCCGCCGAGCGCACGCTCAAGTTACTGTATGGCACTGCGGTGTGTAATACGTATGGAGTAGATTTTGGCTTCAACTGTGAAGTGCGTATGCTGTGGGTGGTCCAGTTTTAATAGTTTCATATTTTGTGTTGCAGATACGGTTTTTAGAAGAATAAATGGTTCGCAAGGTTTAGAACCGAAGCTTTACTGCCGCACTACTTCGAGTCTCGTGTGGCACTGGGAAGCCACGCACATATCTCCCGTTGTTTATGTGGTATCGGTACGAGACGGCGAGGAATCATGGGTGTGGCACGATGTGGTCAGTATTATATTTATTGTGTTTAAGATAATGTTCTATTACCCGCTCACAACTCAGGACACCACTTGAAAAATTCAGTCCCTTTCAGTAAATGCTAACTTGTGAAATAAGTGAATATAATAAATTTGTAAGGAACGGAGGTGGTCCGCGAAAAATGCCAGTGAGGTGACTCTGTTATTTCACTGAAATGAGTAAACCAATTTTTTTTCGTAAAACAAATTTATCACTAAAAACAAAAATTAAAGATACGCATCTCAATATTTCTAATAGAAAAAAATACTATGATAAAAATCCCTCTCCTCAACTGTTTACAAAATAATTATTAAAACGTTATAATTATTACTCATTAATGTGAATTAGAAAATAACCTTTTGATTTCTCAGGGGTAATTTATTCCTATGAATCTTTACTATTAACAATCGTGTGATTATTGTACCCAGATACGGAATAAGATAAGATCGAGTGCAATACTTTGACGCCCTCTGATTTACTGATACGAAAGTTGGGTTATTGATATCGGACGGCTCAGAGCTTGTCCAGCTGGGGCAGTCCCTTGTTGATGGGAGAAACCTGAACGGAGAAAACCCCGCGCGTCGACATGTAGGTCTCGTGCGATCTCAGCGTCCAATGGAGGACGATCACTGCCACCTGCCGTGTTAAAAAAAAATTGCTATACATTTACGATAGTAATCACCACAGCAGTTAACGCGCCAGGAAACACGAAAAAAATGACCAATCAAGCAAGGCTTTGGAAGAGGAGATAACAAAAGTGAGATGCCGGAGATACGACGACCAGCGACCCATTGGCCGAAGTCACATGTCTATCGCACTACGTATTGTTTTGAGTTCAGTGACCTCGGAAAGGAAGGAATGTTTAACTAAGGCATGTTTCTTGGCATCCGTCTCATCCACTAAGGTGAGAATAGCCTTTCGGAAGATTCTTAGAAAAAACTAAGGTACTACCAGAAGAGTGTGATTACGTACGAAAATGAAAAATATTATCAGAAAAGTTATGAAGTGCAGCAAACTTGGGGATGCGACACATCATACGCCCTCACTGAGCCTATCCGACTGCTCGTATTCCTTATCGTGCCCCCACGTAATGGAACTCAGAGCGAGAATAACACGTAACAAGTATTTTTCGAGTTGAATGTAAATTTTTAAAGAATATAACGGAAAATTTGAATTCCTTTTACCAAAACTCCAATTATGAGTTCCCCTCATTGTCGAAAAGAACAAAAATTGATTTTCAATTTTTCACTGCGTTCTCAAACATTGAAAATAATGAAAACGCATGCTATTACGGCTCAAGACAATCCATTTATGACTGAGAGCATAGGATTCCGCGGCTGGGGTCGGTATTTACTTGGCTGTCCGGGTGACGCCGCGTCCATGGCGAAGGTGCCGATGTTTCGGTCGCCATTCTGCGACCTTCCTCTGGGATTTTTGACTGTCCAGGAGACGACGCGACACGGGCCCAGTTAGCAATGTTTACTGTGTTGGCCGACATACTTGCGACCGTGCTGACCGTCCGTGCTGACCGTCCGTGCTGCGCGGGCTGAATTTGTTTTTGAAGATCACGGCTGCCTGCGCCTCGGCGGCATTTGTCTGCTGTGCTGACGATTAGTCACCAACTTCTACAGTCACTGTAGGAGATAGTGGTAGAGAACAGAAAACATGCAGTATGAAATGGCAAAATATGAGCATATATATATGTAATAAAAATGATAATAATATGCCACAAATACGTAACTAGCGGTTCTAAAACAACATGTACTTTCTCGCCATTACTTTCACGCAAAATTACGCGAAAAATACTCAAATTTTCGAAAAATTGTTGACGACTATTTAAAATGCTATTAATAAGGAACATATTATATTAAGGGAAAATATCTGTTTTTAATATTTTAGTTGTAGGCAGACTCCGAAAAAGTTTTGAATTTTTTCAATTTTTGATAAATCAGGGATTTTAAACGAATATGTGACGTGTACCATTCTCGTAAATGTCCTTCACGTTATCAAACACCAAAATTTAATAAAAAACCACGAAGCCATTTTTTAAAAAAGTTGGAAAATGTTTTTGATGCTTTATTTAAAACACCCCATCTCCCCCAAATAAATTAAAATATTGATTTTAGATCCAAGGGGTGGCGACATCAGCGATCGATCGAGATATATCAATTTTGGAGAAAATCGAATGAACGGTTCAGCTGCTAACATTGTTCACAGTCAACCAGACGTCTTGCTGTCGATCGACTTTTCGGTATCAAGGACCCACTAAACAAAGATCCTTACTACACCACGTGTTAGAGGATTTTTTTTCCTAAATTTAGCAACTGGATTTATTCACTTTTTCATTACCATAGCAATGTAATGAGAGTTGTTGTGGCCGAAATTCGCCGTTTTTCCGAACAGCATTACATAACTTTTTCTCTATTGCGTAAGCAGTAGCGACAAAGTTATAAAAAGGTATATACTATCAAAATACCCTTTAATTTATACACATTATTTAACCACATTATTTACAAACAAAATCAAATGACACACCTCGAAATTGCATTAACAAAATATTTATTGAATCAACTTAAGTATTGCTAGCCCTACTGAATTAATTCGTTTAAGAATACATTTTTATTTTTGAGTGCAATTATATCCATCGTACAAACGAGGGTACAGAAAGAGCAGCAAACAGTCACTGTAGCTTTGTCTTCGTAGCTCTACAAGTTTGTGACAAACCATATAACCCGTAAATTGGGATTAATGATCAAGAAACACTACCTCAGTGATGCTCTCTATTCGTAAAGATAATATTCTTAGTGTTCGCGCGCACTTATCGCAACATTTATGCAGTGCAGACCGGTGGCCGCGTTTGCACGATGATTGCGTTTCGCGTCTTCAATATGCGATTCTGGATACGCGTGAGAAAAAAATATGCAGGCTTTTTAAAACTAAAAACTAGTTTTGAAAGTGTATGATATGTAGTTTGGAAAAATAAATTTCAATGAAATTGGTATAAAATGTTTTGCAAAATGTCAAATAGGTCGTATATTAAAAATCTGTAAAAATACAATATGTAAAATAACGGAAAATAAATAGATGTTGTGTTAGGATTGTCCTGATTCGTCAACATCACAATTGTTGTCAACTGAACACAAAAAGACAAAAAAATCTAATTACATAAAAATCCGGACTCTGATGAGACTTGTTGCTGGCGAGTGGCCGTTCACGTCTGCGAGCTGGCCCCAGGCCCAGTGAGTTGTGTGTGTTGCATCTGCGTTGTGCGGTAGGCGCTGTGCCACTGAGAAGGCAGAGCTGTTTTCAGAAGCGTAAAATATTAGATTAAGAAAAATTATAGGAGGGCTGAGGAGCTTCCGATTATGGTGGACGTAAAAATCAATTGTTTGTGCATATTCAATTATGCCTCTAGGGGATTTATTGTAATGGAAGCTATTGGGGATGCTTGGTAATAACATTGATTGAAGAGTGGCTCTGAGTTATGGGCTGGAAGATATCCGAGTTATTATTGGTCGAAGATAAAGTTAGGTATGGGGGAGAGATATTTTGGGCATCTAGGATCGTACAGAATGTTGTGCCTGGTTGTAGGTGGAAAATTACTTCAAAGAATCTATTTTTGGTCTTTCACTTTGTTAACAAGTTCTGCTAGGCCTATGCTACAGTAAGTATACGTATGTACCTGCGTAGATACCTGCCGCGTAGAGGAGAACTCTCGTTTTCTCGCATATCGTTGCTGTATTTAGACAAGCGAAACGGCTGTTCAACTATGTTAGTTCGAGGTGGTTGCATTGCTCCATCCGGGTGAGTTTTTCATCAAACGTTATTATGAGACCGGATGAGATAGCTCGAGGCGAGAACTGTTGTCACTGAAGCGACTCTAACCAAGAGTTCCTAGAGTTTGGGGGGTGACGGACCTTTCGACATTAGCTAAAATAGCTAGTGAATCTGTCTGAAGAATTCGAGCGTCCGGCCATTCTGATCGGTAGTTTTCCGTTGTTGTGCCCTGATAGGTTGATTAGTTGTCAGTTCCAGGAAAATGACGGGAATGTACTGCCCTAGCAAAAGGGCTACAGACCGGTCGCGATCTTTCTTTCCTCGTCCCTGACCCACCTCTCCCCGTACGTGTTAACACTGACATGCACCTCAGTGCCAATCGAACGCTTAGAGATTGTCTTGGCTAGGGCGGTGTCTCGCTGGGAGGGGGGGGAGATAACGCGGAGAGGGGGAGATCTACAAGTCGACGTGTTGGTCGGTGTCGGATCTCACGATTCAGCGGGGAGGGGGGACAGTCATCAACCTGAATATAACAGGCGTAAGTATAAATGTTTGTAGCAGTCGACATGACCAGAAACGCCAATCGGTCGATCTCGGCTGTCTCCTTCGATGTGGCTAAATGGCAAATTTGAGGTTGGAGTCTGCGCTAGGTGAAATGAAGACTTACGACACCCACAATGCTAGATATGGTGACTACCTGCCGTATGACTTGTTTGGCAGCGTTGGCATTTAACCTATTAGCAAGAAAGGTGATCTTGAGATTAATTTCACTGTTAAAGGATTCCTAATTACTCTCTTTTTGCTTTGATACCCAGAATTTTCAGAACCACCATTTAGTTGCCGGGTGATTGTGTGCAGGTAACATTTGGTGTCGGTCGGTTTCCTGTAAATAGCGTCTCGTACTTAATGTTATTAACTATAAACATGTTCGAAAATTGTAGTACGATCAAAGTATTTATGCATTGAATTTTTGAAAATTGTACTATGAAATACTGAAAATTATGCAGTGAACGTGTTTTACAATAAATAAATTTTGAATACAGCTTTTGTCTAGATGTTATACTGTATGTTTCCACCAATGTTGTATCAAAATTGATCACTCTCGCTCTGACCTCGAGAAGGTAGCGCTCTAATCGCAATATTTATTTGCTTTCAGGTTTCTACAGAAAAATTCATTATTGACGAGCTGCCATCTGAGAGTGCGTTTCAGCTAAAAGTACTTCATGTAGAGGAAGATGGATCTTTCGCAGGTCCATGTAGTAGTGAATGGGTGTCTCCTTTGAATGGTACGCTCTATGCACAATGATCGAAAATAAAATAATAATGTATTTATGATCTGATTTGTTATTGGATATATTTGATCACTTGGCTAGTACAAAAGTCATATGAATACTGTCGTTTAATGTGAATTTTCCTTTTTTAATCACGATGTGAAACAAATGCAAATGATAAATGCCCCAAACTTGATAATAAATAAAAATTATACTTAGATGCTATTTGTATTTTAGGGTACTCTCATCGAATGTCAAATTTTCTTCTTATGGATGTTGTTATTCTACATTTCAGCTTCTTTCAATCCTTCTCCAGTAATTAATTTAACCGTTGCTAAAGAATATGAGTTCTCAGAGGATTATGTAAATATTAGTATTAAATGGGAACCCAATGAAGGTGAGCAGCATATAAACATTTATAAAAATATTCACGGACTATTTAACTATCAATATTGTCAATCAGAAAAGCAATAAATAAAAATTACAAATATTTTAACTTAGAAATAAATAAATATTAAAGATAAGTTTTTGACACTATTAGTGCTTAAAGATAATAAAAGAAAAAATGTTGTAGTGTAATAATTAGAACAGTAATATATTAATTGCAATTTTGTTTAAAAACATTAATTTTCTCTTTTTTCTCTCAGAGGATATGACATGTGACTACAAAGTTTTGTACTGGAATTTGCACGGTGAAAAGCTAGAGGAAACAGACGTTCATATGGTAAATAAAAATATATTATAAATATAGGTTTTGAAGTATTTAAGATTGTAAGTAATTAGGTCTATAATTATGTTTACTTATTGTCCAGGAATTTTCATATTTACTTCCTAACTTGTATTTCAATAATTCGTATCGAGCATACGTGATTAGTGGAGACGATGAAAAGAACAATTGGGGCAAGGAGATGGCCATACTGTCGTTTTCAACCCCATCTTGCCTCGATGTTTGGAATAACAACTTAAGCATCTGCAGTGAGTAAAATTAATAATTAGTTCTTAGTAGAATTAGTAGGAAGTCAATTATTTTTTGCGAGTTTTCTTAGTGAATAACCTAATTTTTATAAGAGATGGATATTGTGATGACCCCTTTTTATTTATTCTTACTCTTATTAATTTAATTGGATTGGCTAGCTCAGTTTTGTTCTTGTTGTAATTGGGCGCTTTTATACTTACGATCTCAGGGCTCGTTTGTTTCTTTCTTGGCGGCTGAAAATACCGCTCGTACGAGAATTGAATTGAATTGAATTGTTGCCTTATTTTACGTTCGGTTGATAATTATCTCTATTTACGTTATGAATTTATTAATTTACTGCTTAACTAATTTTTGGAAATGATAATACCTCGTTTACTTAATTATATTTCAGCGAATTATCGCTACCATTTATTTATTGAAATAAGTGTTAACTTTCTTTACTGATTCAAATGTTAACAAACTTCGTTCTTTATTAAATATTATTCTTTCTTTTTACCTAATGAATAATGACCATCAACACTTTATAAGAATTAACTTTTGTAATCTTTCTCTTTCATAGCTTAACTTATTTACGAAGACATTCATTGCCTTGAACAAGTAATTTCTGAAACGTCTCTTTATATTTAATTACTAAACTTTCCTGTGTCTGGAGAAACACTGCTCTCTTGGCGATGAGAAGAATTATTCGTCCATGAAGCGTCATCCTTCTAGCATTTCTTGAGTTTTCACTCTAAGTTCGAATCTGCATACGTTTTTCCACACCGTGCGCGTCCTACTCGACATACCCTCTGTCATACCATTATTTATCTGCATTCCCTACTATCACTTCGCCTCTTAAACCATATCCCGCTTTTACTGCTTGTGGTTAGGAGGAAGAGCGGGCCTGATGGCCCGAGCCTCGCCATATTAATAAAGGCATATTATTATTATTATTATTATTATTATTATTATTATTACTGTTCAATTTTATAGAGCTCGCGGATATACATTCTCCCTGTACCACACCGAGAAAAAGTATAGCTTAAACTTTTCTCTAATCGTTTATGTTACGGCCGTACTTCCTCTCTCTACCACATCGAGACGAATTCTGATGATACATTTTCATCTATCTACCCAGCTTGTTTCTGCGGTTCACCTGTTCTAATTGTTACTGCCGGAATCTGATGCTAGTTTGTCCCTTGAAACGAAGCTATCTGAATTCTCTTGTCCATTCTAACTATGTTGGTTTATATTACATGTCATTTATAATAAAATATTTTTTTAATATTTAAAATATTTATGCTTTATATTTCTTCGTATTTTCCCTCATTTCTTATTTATTCCTTCGACATTTTTATATTTTATTTCAAAATGCTCTATAGGTATTTTTACCTATCCCAATATAATGTATTCATAGGAATGCTTGCCTGAAAAGATGGTAGTATTATTGTACAAAATTTAATTCATAGATGAAGTGCAGTTAATATTTAGTTAAAATAAAGTGAATGCGTATTTAAAGTGTAGTTAATGCTTAAAGTGCGGAGACAACGCACTAACCGACGGCCTTCACACAGTGACCGAGAGCAATGGCGTTTGCGTAGAGTTGTCAGTGGTAACAGACAAGCAATAATGTGTGAAATTACCGCAGAAATCGATGTGGGACTTGCGACGAATGTATCCGTTAGGACAGTGCAGCGAAATTTGGCTTTATTGGCTATGGCAGCAGAAGACACTCGAGTGGCTTTCCTTACAGCACATCGCCTGCAGTGTCTCTCTTCGGCTCGTCACCAATATCGTTTGGATTCTAGATGGCTGGAAAAACTCAGTCCCGATTTCAGTTCGTTGAAGCTGATAGAAGGGTTGGACTGTGGCGCAGACCACACGAAGCTATGGACCCAAGTTGCCAACAAGGCTCTGTGCGGACTGCTGGTAGCTCCTTAATGTGTGTTGTTTTTTACATTGAAAGGAATGGGCCCTCGGGTCCAACTGAACCGATCATTCACTGGAAATGGTTATATTCAGCTACTGGGAGACCATTGGCAACTACTTATCGACTTCATGTTCCCATACAACGATTTTTGGATTTTGATGGATGGCAATTCGCCATGTCACCGGGCCAGAGTTTTTCGCCATTAGTTTGAATAACATTTTGTTCAACATTCAAGGCAATTTGAGTACATTACGACCGAAATATCTAGCAAGAAATATTGCCAACATCAGAAATATTTATTGCCGTTATGTTTACATTGTCAACTTTTCTTGCGAAATAAAATTGCTCGCCATTTTCTTGCAAGTGTAAAGCCAGCTTCAGCGTGGCCGAAGGAAGGATGCGCGAGTCACTGCAGTGGGCGCTGGGTCGCAGGCGGCCGCAAGGCTCTCCGCGTGGCGCATATACTTGAACCAATATTAATCAGATGCGTGATGGATGACGAGGAAGATTCTTACCTTATAATTTTGTTAGTCAAAAAACAAGATGGGTACTAATTTCTCAACTATAGCTTCTCGGGCTTTTTTTTTTTCAAGTTCGAATACTTCAGTATGCATATTGATGGATATTTTTGTATACGTTTAATAAAATCTTCAATACTTGCTTTCAAAATGATCAGAGCGAATGCAAACGACCCGTAACTGCTCTTTATACAACTTCTTGCTGTCTACAGTTATCGGTAGCCCCGTGGCGCGTCCTAGTGGCCCAGTGTGAAGGCTGCCATTTAAAACTTAGTTTTTTCTGGCGGTGGTGCCTAACAGCGCGACTTCGTCGCTCGTGTGAAAACTCCATTTAAACGAATGCTTTGCCAACAGACACGCCCCTCGGAAGCGCTGCTAAGTGGTGTCGTAAGGGGCCCATCACATTTTGAAGGCCTTGATGGTCAATTACTTTCGCCTCCGACATCCAAGAAAACGGCTCGGGCATAAATTTGAACAGCGATGCCCTTTATAAATACAATGTAATAAAATACAATAATATGCGATGTACATTCTATTAAACTACGTATATGAAAAGTGAAATTACTGCATGCAGGAGCTAGAAAAATTACTTTTTTAGTAATATCACATTAGGGACCCACAAAACTTGGGTCAGTACTTTTTCCTGCAGCATTGCACAACTTTCTCAGAGTAGTATACGAGAAAAAGAAACATGTTTTGGAGGTTCCAAACTCCATCCTCAGTGGCGAGGTCTCGGGCGAAGTTAGTCGCCAGTCAGCCACCGTTCCGGACACTTCGCCCGAGACCTCGCCACTGAGGATGCCCACCGCAGTCGTGGGCGAAACGTTGGGCAGTTCAAAGCCAATTGGACCACGGCCCATCAGCCCGGAATACATGAAGAATATTGACTCCGGACGTGAAAGTCTTCAATGCTGTATAAAACAAAAATTGTAAAGGAAAAAACCCTGCTGTGCATTAACGAAGCGTTTCTCAGCAAATTAGCATAATATTAATCGAATTTAAAATATTGTTGTTGTTTTCCACCTGAAATGTCTCATTTTACAATATTGGCATCAAAGAGTAATTTCCCACGACTTATTTCTTACTCTTACGGGGGGACGTCAAATCTTTCAAGCCCTTATCTGTCTTTACTCTTCTAATGAATTTTAACTCTTTTGAAATTGAAAAAATGTTTTTTTCTTCAAAGGAACAGAGTAGTCAATAAAAACAAATCGTACGATAGTTAAATATTTTTGGATTTATGTTTTGCTATTTTCAACACTTACAGATCCACCACCACCTAAAAAGATAAACATACATTTTCTAAGAGTCGATTTGAATAATTTTGATATGAACATCTCCTGGATTCCTGATAAAATTCTTCCAGAACAGTATGCTGTGTTCATGTCGGATGTTGAAAATCCCAAACAAAGGAATGAGCTTAAGTTTGTAAATGGGGTAAGATTATCTTTCATATTTTATTCTAGGCTGAGAAAAATGAAAGTGAAACTATCAAACTTATTTATTTATTGATTTAATTGTGTTTAATTTCAGTTGTTTAATTTCAGAATGTAACGTCACTTATTTTTAAAAACGCACAACCAGAAACGTTATACTGGGGGTGTGTGATGGCAATTTCTTCTGCAGGAAACAGCACTCAGAATTGCGATTATCGTAAATTCCGAGCACGTGAGTAGAAATTTCAAGCAACAATTTTGGAGTATAAATAAAATTTTATCTGATTACTTCGGAATAAATATGTCCACTTTTTTTTCTCACAGCACTGACAAAAAAATGGGAACACGGTGAAATTGCGATTGTGATAATAGTATCATTAGCAGCTTCATGCGTAATTATGCTGGTAATTGTATATTTGTGTTATCGACATAACAATATTCGAAGAGAAACATTGCAGAGATCTCAATATTTTGAGGTAAAGTAACATTAACATTTCATTTCTGAATAAAAAAGATATAAAAATCATAAACGTTTCAATGAAAATTGTGTGATAAGTGTATGCGGATATTTAGTCTTATAAACAAGATATTGATTCATACGGGAAATTTTGTTTAGAACTTGGAGAAAGAGACGCCAAAGGAGAAGAATTATGAATCAACTTCTCTTTATTTTGACGATGAGTGGGAAATCCCAGAGGATCGTCTTCTTGTTATTGATGATGCTATTGGAAGAGGCGCCTTTGGAGTTGTACATAAAGGTTTACTTCGTGGAAAGACGGCTCTAGAACCATCACAAAATGTAGCTGTTAAAATGCTGAGAGGTAAAATCAACAGAAAACTTTTATATATCTGTAAGGAACAGTACGTTTAATCTTTGGTCCTTCCATCCATGTAAATGGATTCACATAAAATGTTTCTTTCGACAATCGCATACAAGCAGAGTATTTTTAATTTATTTCATAATTAATCTGTCCCTAGATACAATAATATTTTTTGTAGATCAAATGCTACATTTAATAACAAATTAAAAAAGGTTCACTTTGCATCGATTTCACATTTTAAATAACATTACATAGTATCGTTTTCTCCCACAAATACGCCATAAGATATACCAAATGGCTAAAAATATATTTTTCTTCTTACTTTTTAAATGATAGACGATCAATGTTTGGTACAATTCAATGTTAATTTGACCTCATTCCTTTATTAAACACCGCGTCTTATTCTCCTGCTAATACGAGTCTAAATTTATAATACAATTTTCCATTTCCGGTCGACTGTATTGTTAAGATTTGAGCAACTGGTGCCAATTTCGGTTTATGACGTTCCCATAAGCAATTACAAAAATTAAAATCCGGCAGGAATGAAAGCACTGAAACATTTGGTGCTGTTGGAACTACATTTGGCGGAACAATTCGGAAGTTTTGGCGCAGTTGAAGTGTATGGTGTTAGGGGAGGGAATAAAAAAACACCTTAATTTAAAAATGCTAAAATTAGATATAATTACCTTTTTAGATTAAGGAATTAAATGAATGTGCGATTATTAGAGATAACATGTTTCCAATTATGAGCAAATAGTTCAGGTATACGTCATTGCAAATTTCGAACATGATTGCGTTAATTCTAGCTAACACAATTTAATATTAACGAGATTGTGCTGTGATTGTAATCCAATGAATGCGAAGTACCAATTTTGCGTTTTTTAAAATTTCGTTAAGGAAGAAAAACGTTCATGAACTCTTGCTACAAGAGTGGAATATATATCTTCGTTCGCACAATCAAGAATTCGGAGGGCCGACCTTTCGACAAGCGAGTGTTTTTAGAAGAACCGTACTGTAGGCTACACCGACTTCACGAAGCTCTCTCTCCCTCTAGAAAATGTTCATTAGTGGATCTCAGTGCAATTTGATGAAGAAAATTGTAATTTTTAGGAAATATGAAAATAAAAAATAACAGCAATTTTTAAGACAGAAATATCATGATTTTATTCATTATTAATTCTAGATCTTAAATTATTTCTGCAATTTTGATGGATTTTTCTCAGTTAACCTATAAATGCAGAAATTAAATTATTAGTATTAATAAATGATGTTACATAATGCGACTTATTATTATATAGGTTAACGTGTATAATACGTTTGAAATACATCAAAGAAGAAATTATTGCACCGTTGTCAATAATACCCCATTAAAGCAAACATATTATTGCAGCTCAAAGCTCCAAGATCAAAAGCAAAGTAAATCCCTACGTTCATACACTATTGGAAGATGTAAAAGATTTTTATTTTATTTATAAATTACGAAATACAGAATATATTGAAAAGCAATGAAGAAATTTGGTTATATCTGCGCGAAGAGTCAAAAAAACAAATTACAGCTATTAAAGAGTTTTCAGCATAAAATTAGGGAGATTGAACTAAAACTAAAAGTTATTGAAAACAAGAAGAGCGAATAAATAATGTAATTATTAAATGCATTGAAATCCAAGGAAATAAAACAATCTTATACTCGGTGTCAATGAAATTCAAGAAAATGGGCATTGATGTAGATAATGACAATCCAACATACATAGGCAAAGACTGAAAAGAGAAGGGTATTGCGCTCATGAGAATGGGGTCAATAGAAAATAAATGAATAAGAATGAAGAATAAACGCAAATGGAAAGGCTACGATTGTTTCATAGAAGATGGCATGACAAAGAAGGAAAGGCTCACGCAAGCAGCATTAAGTAAACGAGCCTGGGAAAAGCGTCGTAAAGAAACACAGTCAAGATAGGTTCTCAGAAGTTGGAAGTAAATGGAGAATGGATAACTCGTTATGGCTATGAGAAAAACAGTTAAAACACTAGAATCCTTTCACTGTCATACCACAAACCATGAGAAAGACAAAATAGAAGGGAAACATAATACAGAAAACCGTACTAGTGCTGAGAAAAGAACAAGGAATTTCAAGGATATGGTCTTCAAATTACAGAAACAGAACACCGACGCGCACGTTAGAAAGTCCATTAATGTAGCAACTTTGAATGTTAGAAGGACAGAAGAACGAGAACGAGAACAAGCACTAGAGTAAGCACTCAGAGGTTTGAAATACATCATAGGTCTCTGCGAGGTGAGAAGATTAGGGGAAGCAATAATAGAAAAAGAAAAAAAAAAGAATGGCGACTGGATCAGCTACATCGACCAAACAAACGGACGAAGAGGACTGGGGTTCTTAATTCACAGAACATAAAATAACATTGTTGACTAAATAAAGGGAATTTCAGAGAGAGTTGCAATAATTACTCTAAAAGTAAAAAAAGAGAAGATAACGGTATGCACTGACTGAAGGGTATGAGGGGTTCAAGGGTATGTACCGGCTGAAGATAGTTCTGAAGAACAAATTGAACTAGTGGTGCTACAGACTTTCCCGTATTGGTTTTCTGTTTTCTTTCGACTCGGCTAGCTACACGAACCTGCCACATATTCATGTCAGCTGCCATTAATCGCCGCCCAACGTCCGTTTTTTGAAATTTTCTAAATTTTTCAGTTCCCTAATACTCGTAGTTGAACGGAAACATTGTTTTAATAATATTAAATTAGAGTAAAACCTCGTCCTAAATAACAATTTCCTTTCAAAACTTTTAGAGCTGCTTTAATGAAAATGGTGCTTAAGCGCTACTGTAAATTCGAAATTTCAAGCTCGTTTTCAGAGAAAAGTTTTGAGTGTTCGTAAAACTTAATTGGAAGTCATTTGAAGCACATTAAATCACAAATACAATAGTATTAACAAATTGCTAGAAATGTTCATGTTAACGGTGTGATAAATCTTCCAAAATAATTTCATTCTTGTAATTTTTGAAAAATACCCCGAAATTTTGTCATTGAAAAGTGCAAATATTATTATTATTAATACTTACCATTAAAAATTACATTTTTGTAATTTTTGGAACAAAAACTAAAGGATAGAGCCATAAGGCGTTTATGTCATCTCATAGAGAGTTTTTATAACACTATCCCTACCAAAAATGTAAAGGAAAAAAATTGGAGCCGTTTTTGTAATTTTTTAAATTGCACATGCTGCTCGCAAATTTGCGAGAAGACTAATAAAAATTGCCAAAAAATTGTACATGATCTCAACGAAAGATCTAAATATCGAAAACAGCTTTCATTTCAAGGAAAAATCTCTCTTTATTTTGTTGTAGGTAGTCGCCGATTTTTTTTATTTTCGAAAATTCAGAGTTAATAGTGAAAATCGGATCTGTGCCAACTTTATTGGTGTTCAACTTTATTTATTGGTGGCCAACTTTATTGCTATATTCTTACGAGAAATTTGAAGAAAAAATTTGGAGCTGTTTATGAGAAAATTTTGAAAATGTCCGGAGGGCTTCATGTAAATTACCTATAAACTTTGACGAATGTTTTTCAAAATATCGAAGTTTCGACTCGATTCATATAGACAAGGGTTTCTTCAATTTCGAAAAAATCGTACGCGTGGTTTAAGCGCTTGCAGTCTTCAGACACCGGACGGACGGACGCTTTGAAAAGAAAGCAAATACTTTTTCGGTATCAGGGGGCCCCCAAAACGTGCATTTCAAAGTAAAAATCTACAAAAGGTAGAAATAGGAATAATAACACAACAGTAACATTAACAATTACAGAAGTCCAAAAAGAGAGAGATGACAGCAGAAAATGTTTTGCGGAGAAAATAAAGACAAAGATCAAGTACGTACAGTGTAATCGGTTAAATGTATAGGTTTCCAGATTAATTCTATTATCAGCACTGTAGTCAGTACAGAGCAGTATAACAGTGAACTAGAGACTGAAGAGTACACTAGGCAACGTTCTCAATGTTAAATAATTGTAGGAAAATTGCCACAAACCGCTGTTATGAGAATGTGTAAGAGTAATCCTCCATAAGGAGGCCATTGTCCACCCAGGGATTATCATCTATCATCTATCATCTATCATCTATCATTATTATCATTATTATTATTATTATTATTATTATTATTATTATTATTACATATGTCATCACGTATTTAAACCTAATCTTTTTATAGACCCATTCTTGGAAATAATTTCTTAATGAAGATGAATACACTCAGGCTCAAACAGGTCATTTTAGATGAAATTATACAAACTTTTGTATTGTGAACACATTTTTATCCTTTTAATAGTAGGTTAACTGCAGTTTTCAATGCATTAAAAATGTGGACTTAATGATTAATGGCATTTTAAAAAAAACAGATTATTCAAATTTAGAAGATGTACGACAGTTTCAACAAGAAATAAATATGATGAAATCTATTGGAACACATTCTCATATTGTGTCTATAATTGGATGCTGTACTCGCTCGAAACAACCAAAACTTGTTATTGAATACTGTGCTCTCGGCGCTCTACTTGACTATTTGCAAAAGGTAAGGTAAAAGAAAAGGTGGAAGTATTATGGCATTTTTAGGGTTCATTAGAGCATCAGTTTTTCAAAATTATGTATAGTGATTAATATGTTCTTATGCATGTTTTGTTTCAATAATTAAGTATAAACACCTGGATGATTGTGATGATGCTGAGCAGACTACCAATCAGTCTCCAGACAAACCCACTGAAAGGATAAAATATGCTGAACTAATGCCTGCTGAAAGTAAGTAAAAACAAAGTACTATTGCAACAAAATTTAATAGTGTGTATTTGAGTGTGCGTGCGTGTGTGCGTGTCTTGGCGTACGTCTGGTCTGGCTTCGGACACCCCATACCAAGCCAATGACCTTTTCAAAAATGTAGCTTTCACTAATTATCCTGAAAAAAATGTTTTGAGGTAGCACCTAATACACATTGAAATTTCAAAAAGAAGTGATTTGGTTTAGCTTTGAAGCGGTTCAAAAAATAAAATTTCCAGCCATAAAAAGCTTATTTAATTTTTTAAATATTGAATATTTGGAAAATATGACTGTACGAAATCGTAATTTTGACGCAAAACTTTTTAATTTGTAGAAAACAAAATAACTTTAGAAAATCATCCTTTTTTATGTAATTGGATAAAATGCTCTTTAAAAAATGTTGATTCAGAGTTAAAAAAATTTGATTCAGAGTTTAAAAAAACTAACTTATTTTTCAAAAAATTAATTTTTGATATAATTATTTTACACCTATACCTTCATAAACATTGAGAAATAAATGTATAAACAAATCTAGTGAAGTGAGTGATTGTGCCAAACCCCATGTTGTGATATATTTTTGGTGAAACTGTTTCTTTTAGCGTACCTTACTTCACTAGTCATGTGGTTTCCTACATAAATTTAATCAATTATTAGAAAGGCGTACCTAACAGTACATGGAAGGTTATAGGTTTATTACAAAATTTCATTTCTTATGTCCTATGTATTTCTTGTAGGAAGTTGTGACCCAGAATACGAACAACAAATGCAGACTGGAGTGGCTGTGAATCAAATATACTTTGAAAACTGTAAGTACAATTTGAATTAAAACTAAAGTTTTAAAAAGGCATTACATTAATAAATATCTGAGTCTTGTTGGTCAATAAAATGTTAAACTCTCAACAGGTGAGGAAAAAAAACAAAAAAAGAAGGGTTTGCAACCTGTGGACTTGCTTTCTTTTGCTCGACAAATAGCAATGGGCATGGTAAGAAAACATTTTAGTATGGAGTACTAATTTGCATTTTGTATTATTATAATGAGTTTAAAATTGCCCTTTATAAAAATGATGAACTGAAATGTCAATTGTTGAAATATCTCTTTAGGAATTTTTGGCCAGTAACCGTATAGTACATAGGGATCTTGCAGCAAGAAATGTATTAGTATGTGCTGACAAAACTATGAAGATTTCAGATTTTGGCTTAAGTAAAGATGTTTATGAACGAAATGTGTATCACATGAAACGAGATAGCAAACTCCCAATGAAATGGACGGCAATTGAATCTCTAATGTTTTCAAAGTATACTACTCAAAGTGATGTGTAAGTATAAAAATTATATTGTATCATTAAATGCTTTAAAACTGGGTGTTGACATTAGCATTGTTGCTTACAAGGCACTGATTACAATATTATAATAAATCAACTTGCATTTTTTCTTTTAAATTTCTTTTTGTAATATAGTTTTAATGAAATATGACTGAATTTCTATATTTAATTCAGTTAAAACAAGTTTGTGTATTGAAGTGACAAATGCAAAAATAAATCATTTTGAGCTTAAACTGCTTTGTAGGATTAATTTTTACACTTGCGAACTATATGATATGTGGTTGCAGATGGGCATTTGGAGTCCTGCTCTGGGAAATCGTAACTTTTGGGAAAACGCCATATCCTGGCATCCCTCAAGATAGGCTTTATCAACTTCTGAGAACAGGATACAGGATGGAATGCCCTCCTAATTGCAGTGAAGAACTGTAAGTAAACATGAATTGGATTATATCCATTGAAATGTATTAGATAAGGTTGGTGCACACTTTTCTTGCACTTTCTTCTCTTCAACCTAGAATTTTTGTAATCTTGTTTCAGAGCAAAGATAATGAAAAATACTTTGATCATTGTAAATATGTCAATATATCAATGTTCACTTTCCAAATTAGTTACAAAGTTTTCAGGTATTCATATACTGCTCCATGATAGGAAAGCAACTTCATACAGTTCATTAAAACATTTCCCTACTGAACAATTATCGAGCATTTAAAGACCAAAAATAATATAAAATAAATAAATCTTCCAGAAAGAATTTCTGCTAATTGCAATTTAATCAAAACGTGAAAATTGAATATATTAACACTGGTCTACAACCATTGGCGTCCGTGGGGCCAGGAGCCCACAAATTTGTAATGAGGCCCTTTTACCGTAATCAATAAAACTTTTCATTTCCTTATATTCTATCCGCGATTTCCCCCTTTTTTATGTCACAATTAAGGGAACTGTTATACGCTATTTGGAAAAAAGGCTCTTTCCGCTTGTCCACCTTGTAAATGTTTCAACATAAAATTGTTTTCAAAAAGGTATTGTCTGATAGAAGTTGTAATTTATTCCCCTTGTAGTAAAAAACCGATGTTTTTCCCTCCCTCAGTGGCTAGCTTCAAAGAACATTACTGACATTCCATCCAGGCCCTCTTGTCCATAACTAGGGTCTTAGGGAAGATCCCCATCTCCTACATTATTTCTCCTATCACACTTATTCGCCCGGCCGGGACTCTACCTGTCGATAACCTGCCAGAGCCCTTCTCAGTTAATTCATTGGTTATTAGGGAGTTAGCACGTCGAACGTTGAACCACTATCGATCTTCTGCGCCTAGGCAATTCACGTTTTGCATCACGTTAGTGCATCTGCGCATGTGCAGAAGATCGATAGTGCTGACGCTATGGCGTGTACAAACTCCCTATTGTCCCAGGCACCTGTTCCCCTTCGATCCCTGGCGGAATGATGGTTAATGATAGGATTGGGTAGGGTATGATTAAATGGAGCGTGGAATGCATTTTGGCACGGGAGAGTTTTATTTACTGGAAAAATGTCACTTGTGGGGGAAAAAAGTTTAAAGGAATTGGGGGGGGGGGCAAATATGTACTTGCCCTTGTTTTAAGCCGCGCATGCTTATGTCTATCGATAAATACGAGTTGTGGTCAAGGAGGAACTTTAATGCACGACTTTCAATGCAAATTCTGAAACGGTGCCTTAACTCAGATGAAAACGTGTTGCAAACACTGATCTCTATAAATACAAATCAGTGATGCCGAATTGACAGCGATCTAATGCGACGTGGTTATCCATTCTGGAGCCTTCTAACACCTTAATTTTAACTTTATCGTATTCGTACGTATATACGGAGCAATATACGTTCGTAGTAAATCTTATGTAATGCTACGCCCCAAAACGATTTCTTGACACAGAAACTCGTATTGTGAGGTCCTGATACAGGAAAAGTGGATAAATCCTGTTCTAATATGCAGTAAATTATTGCCTCTAACACGTTATGAAGTCAGATTGCATGAATTGAGAGCCCTTGTTACCGAAAGAGTGTTTTATTTAAACGTCCGCGCCTAAACCATACGTAGGATTTTTTTTCCAAAATGGATATACCCCGGTTGAACTGGCTCGACCAAAAGCGCTGCGATTTTTATAAATATTCTTTAAAATGTGGGGGTACTTGAAGTCCCTGGAACATTTTCAATTTTTTTCAAAAATTCCTTATTTTTTTCTCTATATTTCTTAAAAGAATAGAGTAAAATACTCTTATAGAGGTGGTATAGGTCCGATTTTCACTGACAACTCTGAATTTTCGAAAATTGCAAAAGTGTTAATTTTTTCGGAGTTTTTCTACATCTACAAAACTGAAGTTGTTTTTTTACTTCAAAATTGATTCTCCATAATTAGATCTTTCAATAAGATCATGTATATTTTTTGGAAACTTTTAGTTATTTTTGTGTAATATTGCGTGCAATATGTACAAGTTTAAAAAACATTTTCTCGAAAACGTTCTAAATTGTTTCTTTAAACTTTTCGGTGGGATTGTGCTAAATGTGCTCTAGAAGATGTCATAAACGCCAAATCGCTCTATTCTATTGTGTGTTTCAAGAATTAAAAAAAAAAAAATTCTATCTTGTCTTTCACATCGTTGATATTTATATTATCGGCGATTTCTTCGCATTATTGTATTTATGAGTTTATGTGTTTTAAATAATGTCATATAAAGTTTCTCGAAAACTGTTTTCTGTGGAAATGAGCTCAAAATCCCACTTTTTCAGAAACGCTCAAACGCAAGTTCGTGAAAACCAGCTTCAATTTTTTTCTTCAGACTTTTCTAATGGATAATGCTAATCACACTATTTAATATAGCATCTTTTTGTTTTTTCAAGAAATAGACATATTTTTTTTATTTTAATATCTCTCACGGCGCTAATATGCACATTTACTACGATTTGTAAACACTATTTCAATCGTGAATAAAAGTACTGTAAATGCCGTCGAATGAAGTTTTTCAAAAACTCAAACGTTTTCTGTGAAAGAGAGCTTCAAAGTTCGGTTTTGAAGTAACACTTAAATGCAAATTTCTTAAAATGTCTCAAAATAGTTTTTAAGAGGACGAGATTTTACTCTTCCTTAAAATTTTTAAAGTAACCGTCTGGTTCTATCAGGAAACGAAAACATAGAGAAATTTTTGAAAAAATGTAGAAGGTGATACGTTGCAGCAGGCAGGTGTATGTGGCACGACCAAAAACTAGCCCAGACCATAGAAATTCGAAAATTAACAAGTATAAGAAAATCTGTGCCTTTCTGCAGAACTAGTTACTTTCTCGTATACGTACATATATAAGGAGTAATATTAGTAGTATAGAGAAATTTATGTAATGCCGTGGAAAATCGATTTCGAGATTTCAACGAAAATACGCGTTTTGGGTCCCCGATACCGTAAAAGTGTTTTTTTAAACGCCTGCCCGCCAGTCTGTGAAAACCAGTAGATCTTACACCATAGATTTAGATTTATTGAGTCAAATGCAAGAAGTAAAAACTGTAAGTGACGAATGGGAGGGGGGGGGATCATCTGCACAGTTTTCTTGAGTTCCAGAATCCCTTCCCATCATTTTCACTATTAATTGTTGAAAGATAAGTAAAATTTAAAGATAAATAAATGAAAATAAAATTTTAAAAAGCGTGAGATTAGCAACATTTGAAAAACTAGTTATTTTCGTTCCCGAGTTATAGAAAACTTATTTGCAACCGTAAACGAACTACAGGTTTTATTCTTCTTTCTACCTCTACTCCTACCTCTACAAGCAAAAGGAGACTTCACCAAAACGTGCGTATAGTGAAGCTACATTTACGTCCAGAAGCCACACAAGGGGCCATCTCAGCATTTGCGCAATGGATCAGGACAAAAATCTGATCGAGATGGGGGTCATTGACCGGAAGCTAAAGTACATTATTTGTTACAAATATATCAAGTTTTTTTTAAATAAAATATACAATACTCAAATATATATCACTGTTCTGTTATACAAATGTAAATTCAATATATATCACTGTTTTGTTAAAATGAACATAATTTTTCTTTTTGATGATCAGTATAATCTCCAATTGTATAAAAACAGTTGTGCAGCAGAAAGGATTTTAATTGTAACTTAAATTTGTGAATGTACTTAAATTGTTTAATGTGATCAATTGTCAAGTGTCTAATGCGTTGTAAAGTAACGTACATGTATGTGGATTTCTGATAGTGAGCTGTTGATACTGACATTTGATGAACGTGATTTTTACTACGTGTGTTGTAATTATGAATATCAGTATTGCATGAACATAAGTTCCTACATTTAAGTAAGTCACTTTTGACACACATTACAGATTCGTAAATATATAGGCAAGACAGTGGTAAGATTACAAGCACTATGAAGAGAGGCTTGCAGGGATCACGCGTATGACATTTTTTTATTATTAAAAAAAATTATTTTTCAATCTAAAGGTCTGTATACTACATGATGAGTTTCCCCAGAATTTAATGCCGTATCTCAGGCGGGAATGTACATTTGCAAAATACACGCAACGAGCTGCATGAAGGCAGACAGAATTTGAAAGAATTCTCAATGTGTAAGATAATACACCTTATTTAGTGTTCAATTTTGTTATATGAACAATCCGTTTGAGTTTGATTGAATTAAGAGACCTAGAAATTTTGATACCTGAACATCAGCTATTTGCATATTGTTCATTTTCAATGTAGCATGCAATTGCTGATTTGAAATGCGAAAATGCATTGAAAAATTTTCCTACGTTAACTATTAATTTTTTATTACAAAACTAATTTGAAACTTCTAAAATATTACTATTTATTTCTTTTTTGCAAAGAACATTCGTGTTATCGGCAAACAATCGATCTTCCGTTTTTAATAGACGAGGGTATATCGTTTACGTATAAGAGAAAGAGGAAGGGACCTGAGATCGAGCTTTGCAGGACCCCATATTCAATTGGTAAAGAATTGTAAAGATCAGTAAATAATGCCTTTTCATGCCAGTACGATATTTCTACTCTTTGAGATCGATGTTTAAGGTACGACGTTATCCAATCTAGGGTGATACCACGAATTCCATAAGAAGGTAATTTTGATAGCAAGATATTGTAGTCAAATACGTCAAAACCTTTCGAAAGATCTAAAAATATTCCAACGGGTGCTTCATTTTGATCCATTGATGTAGCAATATCTTTAAGAAAAGAAAAAAATGGCACTTTCCGGAGATTTTTGATTTTCTAAAACCGCATTGTAAGTCTAAAAATGCTTCGTTTTCCTTTGAAGTTTCCATTCGTGTACAGAAAGTCTCTCTAATATATTTGAGAAAACTGACAAAAATTGGGCGGTAATTTTGAATTTAATTTTTGTACCCTATTTTTAAAAAGTGGGATTACGTAGGATTTTTTTTACAAAATGGATATTCCCCAATAGATCTGGCTGTAGCTAAAGGTTTGAGATTTTGAAAAGGATTCTTTAAAGTTTTGTGATGCCCCAGAGACATTTTCAAAATTTTCTTAATAGTGGCTCTAATTTTTTCTTTAAATTTCTTGTAAGAATAGAGTGAAGTACACTAATAAAGGTGGCATAGGTCCGATTTTCTTTGTTAACTCTGAATTTTCGAGATTTGCCAAAGTTTGAATATTTTCGGCGTCTTCCAACAAAATCAAAAATATAGATTCTTTCTTAAAATGAAATTTGTTGTTCATGATTAGATCTTTTGTTAAGTACATGGATATTTTTTTAAACGTTTGAAATTTTCATGCTAAATTGCGTACACTTTGGGCAATTTCAAAAAGTAACAAAAACTAGATTTACTGCAAAACGGCTCCAAATTTTTTCTTGTAACATTTGGTAGAAATAGTGCTAAAAGTACTGTTTAAGATGTCATAAATCTCATATTTATCTATTCTTTTGTTTAAAAAAATCAAAAATGTAACTTTTTTAACTCTCACGTCGTTATAACTTACATTAGCGGTGATTTGTTTACACTACTACATTTATAAGTTATATTTGAATATATTTATGATCTTTAATGGTTTTATAAAGTTTCTCGAAAACAACAATTTTATATGAAAATGTCCATAAAATTCCTCATTTTTAGAAACGGTAGAAGGGTATTTTCTTAAAAACTGCTTCAAATTTTTTCTTCAAACTTTCCGTACGGCGCTAATTGCATTGTTTAATATGGGATAAGATTGATTTTGGTGTATTATTTTGTTTTTTAAGGTATTTTTTTAATCTCTTTCTCTCTCGCGCTGTTAATATGCACATTCCCAGCGATTTGTAAACACTATTGCATTTGTGAGTTGAAGTTCTTCAAATTATATCTAATGAAGTTTTTCGAAGTCCAAGGCAGTAAATCAACTCTCGTTGAAAACAGCGAATGAATAAGACTATATTACAATAGTAATCCACGCGACCACTGAAGAGTTAAGGCCTAAATGCGCATTGAACTGTCGAAATTGTGTTGATGCTTGCTTGAAAATAATTAGTTTTGGCACCGCATGTTCTACAATTTGGAATGAGGTTTAAAAAAATTATTGACTGAGATGTGCTTATACGGACAGAAATTTCTGTTATAACGATAGAAATTGCGGTACAATATAGTACGTAACCGTTACTTTGGGAGAGAAAATATGTGCTGTATTGAACACCACTTGTTCATATTGAAGCTTCCACATTCCAGCTGATCAATTCACCGAACATTTTAATCGGCACAATTTAATAAATTTATGTAATTGTTTTCTCAAAAAATGGCCCAAAATATTTTCTTACAATTTTCTCTTTATGTATCAAGAGACGGAATAAAAATTGGTCCTCGTTCAATTTTTGGCGAACTCATTTTTTCGAAAACGGGGCAAAAATAACATAGCAAAAACACATAAAATTAGTTTGAAAATCACATTAAAAAAAGGACATGCAATGGTTTTAACTATTAGTTTTCGCATAATTTCTGCTCCATTCTATTGCAGCTTATACAATTTTTTCCCCTCAAGATTGTCTCAATTTTTTCTTTATATTTTTTCCTCGTGTGTAGCAAAGAAAGATAAAAAGTAATATTGGTCCCAGTTTCGGTGAACTAAATTTTCGAAAATTCATTTAACTTTCTTGGATCAACAAACGGGCCACAGACGGCGTGCTATCTTTCATTCTTCTTCCTACTCCTTCTCATCCTATCCTCACACACAAACTCTCTCTCTCTTTCCCTCTCTTACTCCCTTTCTTACTCTCTCTCTTTCC